GCCCCTGTTCCATCTCTGCCTTGGCCTTCCCTAATGGTTATGGCTGTGTTGTAGCCCAGGGGCTTGTGTTTTCTGTTGTTATTTATACCGGTGGACTGGACTGAGGCTATTGGGGAGAAGGAAGCCTCATTGAGGCATACTATGGTATAGACCCCAGTGCTGGTGGGGGCACACAGACAGGGGCCAAGGGCCCAGTTATGCCAGGAGGCTAAGCTAAATTAAGGCCTCAGAGGTACAATGTCTGAATACCATCTGTGAGGCATGGGGCATGGTAAAGAAGCAGTGTTGGAGCCACACATATAGCCCATAAGGCTTAGGGTGTCCTCTGAGGCACCTACTTAGTGCAGGACCCAGAAAGGGGTCAAAGAATCTGCGGGGTTTTAGTGGGGTTCATTAGGACCATGACTGAGCAGAAACCTGGGGGCAGCTTTCCTATTTTATTATCTATTCCAACAAGATGTGGCAGGAGAGAGGAACAGGCACTTGCAGGGTGGAACTGGCATGGTCACAGGCCACTAGGCAATGTGCCACCTCTAGGGACCCTACACTGTGACAACTAGTAATTCTCACCCTTGGCTTGGACTAACTTCACAGTCTACAGCTGGTTCCAGTGGCCAACAGAAATCCTTGCTGTCTCTGCACTGAGCTGCTCCTGGTCCCCAAAGGTCTCAGCTTCTCTGCTGCCTGCAGCAGGTTGCCTCTGCCCCACTGCTCTAAGCTTCTCTGCTGCAGACCAAATAGTGCAGACTCCCTCCATCTCCACTCTTGGGGGCTTTACACCAATAGGCTTCTGTTGACTTCAGCAGGTACATGCACACTCCTGCTTCCCCACTTACATCTCCTACCCTCCCCCCACCCCCTAGAAAGAGTCAGAGTTCTCAGAAAAGGGATTCCCCAGGGCAGAGTGCAGTCAGCCAAACCACACCCAGCCCCTCTACAATCCAGCCTTTAACTCTGTCCCTCCCCGAATAAAACCCATCCAAAGACACGCTTAAAACATATAGCATCCCCACAAAGAATACCGCCTCATAATCATCACACATACCTGCAGTTTTCATCAGTAAAGTTTCCCAGATACCTAAATATTTCATTTATATATACTCTAAGGGGCTTTGATCTTGACACCACCAAGCAGCTGGCACCTATACACCAGTGGGACTTGCTCACTGGGTGTTCCACCCACTAGCTCCACTGAGGAGCTTGTTCCAGTAGGCTTTTGCAGAGCCCACCTACCATGTTTGTCTCCACCCAAAATACAACAGTATCTTCTGTTTTTTTTTAAAGAAAGCCAGGAGGATCTGCTACCCTCATATCCAAATAGGTCAATAGTCAGAGAACTCTCTTAGGATGTTGGAGACCTGCATTCAGTTCCCTCTTAGCCTAAAAAGAGGCAGACCCACAGCTTCTACTTTCTAAGAGATTGAACCAAAAAGCACCCTCAGATCCTCCTGTTGAAGTTCTGCCACTTTGCTTGGAACAATCGAAGACTGATTGGGCCAGAGACCAGGAGTAAGAGCCTATAGCTAAGTGGTTGGCTCCTCAACTGAGAAAGGGAGTCCCCAATTCTAATATTTGCTTCAAGGACTTTTCATGTAATATACTGTAAACATGTGAGTGGTACTAGAGATAGTACCCTTCAAAGGACCCCAGCCACTAACCTTCAGAATTATGTTTATGATTGCTATCACTCTTTCTCTGGCTCAATAATTCTTTGATCAGGACATGAAAATTGGAACAGCATCAAAAAGAGATCTTGGAAGTACTTCCTGCCCCAATAACCACAGCTTGGTTGTTAAGGCACTGTCCTGGCAGGAAAGATCTATATGTTTGCACCCCTCAGAAAAAGAAAGGCATTAAATATAGGTTTTCCATGTCCTGGATAGGATCTCTAACCACTGCACTTATAGGTAAAAGGATATAAACTTCTTCTTCCTACAGCTGTTTATTTATGCAGAGTCCAATCCATGAAGTTTATGCTGAGATCACCTAACAGGTTTGGCCCCTCAGGAAGCTGGGTGGAGAAACACTAAGTTGTGAATTTCAGAAGGAAGTAAGGTATGAAAAAGGCACCAAGCTGCTCAGGTTGAAGTTTTTCTGGAATCTTCTGGCAGAATTTCAGTCATCTTATGAGATGCAGAAATTAAGATGTCTATGGGCTTTAGGTGGCAATTGAACTGGGCTTTTGGAGGATCTAAATTTGTAATTAGGTCCAATATTCATTAAGGCATCTAAACATGGCAGCACTGAGTATTGTTCTACCTAAACTTTGGACATGTGCACCCATAGGTGAATTTTACAAGAGTTGCATGTCCAGGATCTTTATGCCTTGAACCAAAACATCTAAGTGCATTTTGGTTGGGCTGCACATCAGCCAGCATACTATGTAGATGGATATATAGGTCAATTAATGAACCACGCAGGAAGTGAAGATGTGACTGGGAACTGTGTCCTTCTCATGGGGTTCGGTAATGTTGATGTGGTTCCCTGCAATCTTGATTTGTGCACTGGCTATAGGTTGGGTTCAGTGCCTTGACCCCCTCATGTAGATATGAGTGCATAAAGTGAATCTTAATTGAACTGGGATTAAGTTAATGCACCCCAGCTAATATTGTGTGTGGCCTGGATGCCTCTATCAATGAGAGCAAAGCAGAACCCAATCCTGAAGTTAACTACTGGGGAATACTATAACTACCTTTGTCACTATGTTGTTTCATGTTAATTTATACATACGGTTCTCATGTCTTTCAACATTTTCTATTTGTTTATTATTCTCGGTGTGGATTCCATCCTGTGACCTTGAAAAAAGTTGTTTCATAATAATTCTCTGTCACAAAAGTCAACTGCATATATTATAAGTAGGTATTACTTGGAAGGTATAAACCGTCTCTTGGTGTGAGATATGCCTGTGTTATTACTTTTGATAGGTGCTGCACTTCTGTGTGCCTTCTGTTGTCTGAGAAGTCTCTTTAAAGTAGCTATGACAACTTCAAACTTGCTTATTGCTTGACACCACAAGTGGCTAGGTGCAAGAAGTTCCAGCTGTTAGGACATTAAGGGAAAACACCAATACAAAATATTAATTATGCAGAAACTGCAACACACTTTTAAACTGATTTAGTGAGAATTCTTATGATAAAAGGAATGATTAGTGTGATGGGTGTCACTTGAAATGCCTGCTGTTGCTATCATTTTAATAAGACAACAGCAATAGGAGATGATTGTCTAAAGCTCCTAAGGGATTTAGGAAAACAAATCTTATGTCAGGAAATCCATTAGGAGCCTTTAACAACATATAACAGACATAAGATAGGGCAGGGTGGCACCTGAGAGACTAACTGGTTCAGAAAACCCTAAGCATTTGTAGGCAGCCATCTACTTCAGTGTTTCCCAACCTTTTCTGTCCCATGACACACTTAGCCAGCCTTTTTCATCCCATGGCACAAGTGGCAGAACACAGAGCATGGGGGAGTGGGGTACTGGCGCGGGCCCAACTGGGACTCAGTGGCTGCATGGGGTGGTGGTGACAGCACTGGCTGTAGCCACACCCCACTGGGAGTCCCTCCTCCCAAGATCCCGCAGTACATCTGGACGTGTCCGATGGCACACCAGTATGCTGCGGCACACTGGTTGGGAAACACTGATCTACTTCATCAGATGCTAACATGACAGTAATTATGAGAAGCACACTCCATTTGTTCATTTCCACTTGTTTTTTCTTTTGCCCTAATGCTGGCTGCTAATATTTGTATAGAAAGAAAAATGGGGACAGTTGCTTATTCCCTGTAGTGTGCCTGACAAACTGTTGATCAGCACTGAGTGAGTAGGCAGAGCCAGGACTTCTTCTACTGCAAATTTTTTTTCTCCTCTCATACTCTCCCATTCATTCAAAACAAGCAGTGTATTGAGCAAATTGCTTCTCCCTATAGCAGTCTCAATCTGAGCGAGCTGGAGGCAAAACAACTGTAATATTTTGTGCATCTATGGATAGACTTTGACTTTAATGAGAACAGGATTGAACCATTAATGTAACATCAACCCAGATTGAAGAAATTTGCTGCTATTAAGAATAAGAAAAACAAGAAAGGGAAGCAAGAAAGCGAAGTCTAGGAGATCGAAGAAGTTTAACTGTGGACATAAGTAGGCCCAGGCTAGGCACTGGCTTACAGCAGTGTACATATACCTATGGACGGAATACTTTTCTCTTTATACTGTTTGGGGCTCAGAGTAAATATATTATCATTTTGTTCTTTGGTAGATTAAGACAACAGCAGGATCAAAGTGGACAGACATCTAGTATGGAAAGCAGAGCATCCCTTCAGACACATGGAAGGCTTCAGGATGGATGCAACAACAATATACTGGGACATGGCTGCACAAGAGGCTGCAGCAGCTAGTTAGACACAAATTCTGGAGCAAAGCCTAACCCTGAGCGTCAGCAAAAACTCATCTCTGTGCACGCAATGATTATTTCTTCCCCTGCACTCCAAAAAGTGTGATTTCTTTGAAAGGTGGAATTCCCTATGAGAAATACGAGAAGCACATAGACTGAGAATGCAGTTTACACAGCCAATATTGTTTCCCTTTATCCTGTTCTATTGGAAGAATTGCCAATGGCAGCAAAATCATGTTTTATGAGTTGACTCCTCTTACAATATCTTCAAAATCCTGGAACAAAACTTGAAAGGCTTCACTTGGCAATCTCTTCAAGGTTGTCATATTCCTGGCTACTTGCCAGTAGCCAGCATTGTCCTGAAGTCCGAGTATTATCAAATGTT